GCGGGGCAGACGACGTGGGCCAGGTGGCCGCGGGTTATGGAGGGAGGTGCCTGCTGATGCACTGCATTTTCCTACTCAGAGCCTCTCCTCCTCTGCTTCGCCCCAAGGACCCCTCGGCCACCAAAATTGGTTCTGCTTCCCTGGCTTGTCCAGAAAGAACTCTCGCCACCGCAGTGCAGAACGGGCGGGGGTCTGCAGGGTGCTGGGCGGTGCCTTTTACACAAGCGAAAATCAATGAAACACTCAAGTGAATGCTTGCTGCCTTGCCCGTGGTGTCAGGCAGTGAGAAAAACTTTCCTCCTCGTTTGTATTAAATTATTAAGTAGCATCATTCCATTAGCAATATTAAGTGGCTATAATTTAACCTAGTTAGTGGCACTTTCAGCTGAGGGTTTTATTCTTCCGGAAGCAACAGCGCTCGGAAGCATTTTCCCTCGGCTCCCTGGGTCTGAGTCCTGCGGTCCCGCTCACGCTCGCGGTCATGGCCATGCAGGGTTATTTGCTGTGAAGGGTGCACAGATCAGGGCAGGTCACTGGGAACATGGAAGTAAGAGTCCCAACCCCTCCTGCCCCTCCCTGAGCCTCTGACTGGGCAGCCCCGAGGCCTCAGTTTACCCCAGCTCATCCTCCTCGATGAAGCCGCTCTTGTCCTTATCCAGAATGTGAAACACCTTTTTCACATCATCCGGACTCTTTTTCTTCAGGCCAACCATTTGGAAGAACTTTTTGTGGTCGAAGGAATCAGCAGCTGCGGGGGCAGAGTAGGGTTCACGGAGGACGAAGCAGAGGCAGTAGGGAAGGGTGGGAGAATGGGGCTGGGGCGCATGCTGGGGTTCGTTGATCCACTCTCCCGTGCCAGGAGTGGGCACCAGAAGGAGTGCGGGTCCATCAGAGGCCGAGGGAGCCCAGCCTAGGAGAGGATGCCCTGCCGCTGGCCCCTCCCTCCAGCCCCCCTCCCACCTCCACTAGACCTTTCGCCCATGGTGGGGGGGGCACCCAAGGACCAGAGATTCTTGGCCCCCCGAGACTCTCGTCTCCACGAAGCCTTTGGGGTGGTGGCTGGGTGGGAGTGAGCTGGGAAACTGGAAGGGAGGGACATGGGGTGTATGTGTAGGGGTGAGGGGAGGAGGGGCGGCCTTCTTTCTTGGCCCCAGACTGTATTGTCAGAAACTCCACAGAGAGGATGAGTGTCTCTCAAGGTCACACCGTAGAAGGAGGACCCAGCAGCCCTGGCTGGAGCAGAATCCATGCCAGCGGCAGTGGTGGAGGTGGTGGGGGCTCCCAGTTAAGCCTCTGCTCAGAGGAAGTTAAGCCTCTGGCTCAGGGCTAAGTGGGTGGGTTGTCACCGTGTGGGGGGTGGGTGGCTTTCCAGAGCTTCTGTGCCCAGGGGAGGGGTGCTGAGTAGAAGGGGAATGCAAACCCCTCCTTCCCCCAGTTCTCTAAGTCCTGAGCTGCTTTTGTAGAACACCTGGGAAAGGGGCAAGGCTGGGTGTGCAGCTCTGGTGTGGTTTGTGTGTGTGTGTCGGGGGGGAGGGGTGAGAGTCGGGTCTCCCCTCAGCCCCAAGCTGGGGGAAGGAGCATTGCTCTGACAGTGGAGCAGAGGACCAAGACCAGGAGGCGACCTCAGTGCCAATTCCCTTTCTGCCATGCTAGGTGACCTTGGGCAAGTGTCTTGTCCTCCCCAAGCCTCAGTTTCCACATCTGGATGGCAGGGGAGGGAAAGGCAAGCAGCTAAGCGCTTAGTGGGGGGTAGCTCCGAGCGCTGAGCCCTCTAGTCCCCCCTTTCCTTGACCTCTCTTGCCTGCTGAAGGAGGCCGGAAGTTGGAGAGGCTGAGAAAGCACCGTGCAGGGTTGGACGGAGCAGAACACCGCCCTGGGAAGGTGGCCCAGCCCGCAAGTCCGCTGGAGGCAAGGGACTCTGAGCCCTGGGAAAGGGGTTTGTACAGTCGGGGTTGTGGTGTTGGGGACAGTGGCCACTACCTGGCGGGAAAAGTCCTGTCCAGAAAGTGGGGGGCTTAGGAAAGAGGTCGCTTGGAGAGATGGTGCAAGCGCCTGCAGTCCCCTCCATGCTCCTTAAAGGGGTAGTTCAAGCGCACACAAGGACCCCAGAGGCCCCTCCTCTGATCCTAGTCCTGGCCCTGGTGCTGCTGCGCCCAGTCCTCCCTCCCCGCGCGGCCACCTAGCCTCCCAGCGGCCGCAAGTTTGTTACTCCGGCAGGCGTCCAGCCTCCCTGCCCGCTCCCTGAGTCAGCTCTCTCCCAGACCGAGTTTGGGAAACGCTGAGGACCCTCCCGGGCTCCGACCCCCACAGCACCCGGCGCTATGCGTGGGCAGAACGTCCGGCGGCCAGCTTAGCCACTCGCGGGCCCCGCGCAGGTGCAGGGTCGAGGGTAGCGGATGAGAAGAGAGGGATGGGGAGGGGAGCGCGCTGCTCACCAGCAAAGGCTCCCACGGCCTTCTTGATGTCCTCAGCGCTGAGCAAGTCTGTCATCGCCATCCTGCAACTGTTTGAGCGGGCAGAGCAAGTGCGAAAAGATTAAAAAGTGCTTTTCTCATCATTTCTGCTCATATGACCAGCGCTGCAGTGCTGCGCGCCGGGCGCACGCCCGCCGGCTTGGCAGCAGCGCGGGCCGCGGGCGGGCGATCCGGAGCTGCGCGGGCTCAGGCTTCTGCACCGCCCAACCGGGGGTCTGGAAATCCCAGGGGCTGCGGCCAGGGCACGAGGGGAAGGGGAGACCTATGGAATTTGGGGATGCCCACGTCACCAGCCGAGTCTGGAGAACCTGCCTACCGTCAAGGGCACACAGAAGGTCCAGGGTCTTGATCTGGTCAGCCGAAGGACGTGTCCTGCCACTCTAGGAATATACTGGATGGCAGGGGCAGACCGCACCCCTGGCCCTCAGCCCCGCTCCCTCTCTCCACTCCTGCCTCAGCCTTTGCTCTGGATGTGAATATATTTTGCAAAATCTGAGCGCTGAGGTCAGAAACTCTACCCATAGGACCCCAAGAGAGAGGGACTGGGATGGGGTCAGGCTGAACCTGCTGGAGACCCTCCCAGGAAGTCCCGCTCCTTATCTGGCCAGGGGTGCTCCTTCTGCAACCCCATTTGAGTTTCCTTGTTGCTGACTTCACTTGTCAGAGGGCCCTCCTTGGGTCTCTGCTAACTCCTGGCTTCCCTGATTTTCTGGGCCCTGGAGTTGGAGGTGCAGACTCCCCCTGCCCTCACAGACCTTTTGGGGGAGTAGAGTGGAGGAGGCTACTTGAAATCTGTGTACCCTCCCAGAAGCCCATGGGTGTGCAGAGAGGTGGTACCTCCAGACCACACTTTCTAGCTGACCTAAGCAGGTTTGCGTCTGAACCTCACCTCTTGAAATGTGATACTTGCCCCATCTTTACATAGCCGGAGACCAGCTGCATTCTCCCCACCCTGGTGGTGGATTCAGGATGCAACTAGCTGCCCGGAGAGGAGCGTGTGAGAGCCCTGGATGGGGAGTCAGGAGGCCAGGCGTCTATAATAGATCTAGGGGTGCCCTAAGTCCCGGCATGACTGTCCGTTGGGACCTTCCACACCTCTGTCTCCTCTTGTCTGGGATGGTGTTGGTGGGCTCTCGGAGTGGGCCCTTGAGACCTAGGAGACTTCAGGTGTGGGCAGGTGGGCCAGGGCTGGGACTGTGGTGGCCCTTGGTGGGGGGCCCAGAGAGCACCGGCCAGCTGCTCCGTAGCTCAAGTTCCCTGACACTCGCTGTCAACACTGTCTCCCCCAGCTCCGCCCTGGACGGCTGCCCTCCCTGGAAACCTTAGGACGCGCTGGCTCGCGCTGGCCCCTCCTGTGAGTCAGCTCCTCAGGCAGCAGCCTGCCAGCTGGCCTCCCCGGCGCCAACGTCGCCCCTGACCTGACATCTCGAGGAGCACGGCATTCCCGGCCTGCCCCCCTGGTCCTGGTGCCCTGGTCCCAGCTGAGCTGCTGACGCGGCTTCTGGGAGCCTGGGCTGTGATTTCCACCCTGGGCTCAGCTCCCTGCAGGGGCCTGGACGACAGGGAATGTCTTCCACAAATTCATGAAAACGGTGATGATGAAAAACTATGAATGGATTTCGATTTTTTTTACACCAAAATAAACTCATTCTTTAATTCCATTTTTACACAAACTTTTTGAAGTCTCCTTGTATTTCCCTAATGGAAGGACACTTATCCTACACTAGTGGGGAGACTGATGCTGGAGAGTCAGTGAGTGGCCTAAGGACCCACGGCAGGGCAGTGGCAGAGAGGGTCCACCCAGGGCCCAGTAACTTGGGGTTCAGGGATCCCTTCACAGCCCTTGGGAGTTCCACAGACCTGAGCCACATGCTGGCTCCCAAGAATCCCCCAAATTGACCCTGTGGCAAGAGCTGGAGCCCGGCAGGGGCCCAGCCTTCTCCCCTCTTTTTCCTTCTTTTCTCCTTGCTGCTGTTTTCCCATCAGCGCGAGGCCTTCTCTGGACCCAAGTCCCTGTCAGGAGCACCAGTCCACGTTAGGGCAGCCCTCCAGCCCCTCCCCTGGCCTCCTCTGCCCCTGGGTCACAGCTGATGCATCTCAGAAGTCCACAGGTGTGTGGCTCCGCCCCTCTTCCACCAATGGGGAACCTGAGCCCAGCCAGGGGGTGGGTTTGTCCCAGACACAGCAGAAGACAGAATTCCTACTCTCCCTGGAGCCACAGCGGCCCTCCCCAGGGGGCTAGCTGGGGGAAGGGGAGACATGGCTGTCCCTTCCAGCTGGCCTCATCCCCCGCATCCCTCCTTCCTCCTCAAACCTCAGTGGCCACCACTCACCTTGGTCTGGGTGGAGGGCTGGAGCCTGCACAGAAAGGCTGGACTGATGGGAGATCCTGCAAGGAAGTGAGCCCTTCAGTGGGATGGTCCCCTATATAAGGCTTCTGCCCGGCTATTTTGGGAGGTGGCGCTCCCCTCAGCCCCCGGCTCCCTCCCCTTCCGGTGTCAGGTACTCCCCAACTGAGGTGCTGGGTGTCTGTATCACATTCATCCTCCCCGGGCCCATCAAGCCAGGCCTATTAATAACCCTGGGCCCCTGCCTCCCTCCGGCACCCAAAATTGAGGCCCAGGCAAGGCTCGCCTCTTCCACGAAGCCTTCCATGACCACTTTAGATGGCAGCAACATTTCCATCTTCCAAATCCTGCAAGGGAGGGACGGGGAAAGGTAAGAAGGAGCAAGGAACAGGAGTCGCCCTCCGTGCACGAGACAGGCCAAGTTCCCACACAGCATCGCCTCCCTAGGTTCTGGCAGTGGGCGTGGCCGCTCTCACAGACGGGGACAGCATGGCCAGGGTACCCGTCGAGTCACCTCCTGCTCAGAGCTGTGCGCCTGGGGCTGGGCTTGGGCTTGACCCTTGCACGGGATGGCCAGTGCCAGGCAGAGGTGCTCTGTGTGTGCCCAGACAAGCCCTTCTTCTGTCTGTGCCTCAGTGTCCCCACCTGTAAAGTGGGCTAAACCAGCCCCAGGCCTACCCCTGCGCTATAGCTGGGCCGGGGTGGGGGGTGGGGGCTACGGACCCCCGAAGTTGTGTGCAAAACATCACAGGTAAGCGCCCTTTTGTGAAGCAAAGGCCCATCACTTTCCTGGCTTGCAGAGATCTCTGACTTGTCTGTCTGGCTTGGAGATGCCCATCCAGGGGGGTGTGTTCCGAAAAGCATGAATGAAGGAATGAGGTCAACCAATAGCTATCGAGTATGTGATGTGAAGCCACATCAGGCTCCCTCCTCATCCCTAGCCCTCGGCAGAAGCTCCGGGCTCTGCGTTGTCAACGGAGGAGCCTGTGAGGGGGCCCAGCCTCCGTGCAGGGGTGTGTGGGAGGGAGGGAGGGAGGCAGGCCACACCAGCTCTTCATTGATCACCGACTCTGCAGAGGGCAGGAGCAGGGCTGTGCCGGGAGTGGGGGCCAGGCTGGAGCCTGGGCGTGTGCCGCTGGGGTGAGCGAGGATGACGGTCGCAGCCACAGGGAGGACTGTGCAGACAGGGTGGCAACTCCCAGGGTAGTGTCCCAGACCTGGGGGCTGTGAGTGAGCAAGACGCACAGTTCCAAGGTGACTGTGAGCTTTTTGTATGGGTCCCTGCTGCGAGAGGAGGGAGATGAGGGGCAGTGTTCGGACAGGTTTGCTGTCCTCCTGCCCTGGCCCCCAGTCAGCCAGGATCACAGACGCACACTACCTTGCCTGGCATGTTCAGGTCAGTCCAGGAACCAAGCCCAGGCCTCCCGTGCGGCCCCAGCCTCATCAGCAGCACCCTGTCACGTGTGCCACTGTGGCTGGTGCCCATCTCAGAGGTGGGACGTTGGTGTTGAGAACCCGAGGTTGTAGGGCTGGGACAGCCTCCCGAGTGGTCTGCCACAGCCAGCCACAGCAGACGTTCTGCTTTAGGTGAAGAACTAGGGCCAGTGGTGGCGCGGTGGTTAAGGTGGCTGGATTCCATGTGGCTGACTGCGTAGTTCGAGTCTCGGCCCCAGTGGCTTGAGAAACATGCTGGGTGCATGCCCCAAATCCCAGAACAAGAGTGAAACAGACAAGAGGAGGCTTGGCATGACCATGCCCCATGGGGGTGTTTCTCATTTTCCCTCTGTCTCTTTCCAGCAAGTGGAAATGCCCTCTAGAAATTTTTTTAAAAGAGAGAGAAAAGGAAAGAAGAAAAAGAGGGACCAGCAGGGGGTGTGGTGGTTAAGGCGCTGGACTCTCACGTGGCCGATCATTGTTCAAGTCCTGGATCTGATGGCTTGCTTTCTCACTGTCTCTCTCTTTCTCTAGTGAATGCACCTGTCCTATAGCAAAGTTAAACATAGTAAGAATAATAAATGAAATAAACAAGTCTGAAAGGAAAAGAAAAAAGAAACCACAGACAGGGTGATTTAGCCAAATCCCACAGAGGGCGAGGAGGAGCCGGGACCTTGTGGTAGGCTTGGGTTGCCCGGAGCACACCCTGTAGAGGTGCCCAGGAGGTCTGGGCTCAGGGTGAGGTCAGGGCTGGACACGGGGCACGGTGGTCACTGGGAGGTCAAGAAGTTGAAGCCAAGAGAGTGGCTGACCTGAGACAGGAATGGAGCCGGATCTTGAGGCCCAATTCTTGAGGAAGGTCCCCGGCGAGGGCCTGGAAACGTAGTCACACTCCTCTGCGGACAGCGTGCCGGGTTCAACACACCATCTTCCGCTTTCATCCCTCTATTCCCTTACGCGGTGGCCAATACCTTCCCTATTTTACTGATTAAAAAGAAGACTCAGAGAGGTTGGGCAACTTGCCTAAGGTCACACAGCGGAGGTAGGATTTAAGCTCAGGTTTCTCAGACTCCAAAGTTCCAGTTCTTTCTATTACACTATCTTGCTTCTGGCTAAAACCAATATAAGATTGGGGACAGCGCCCACCTATGTCCCAGCGGTCTTGGTGTGTCTGTAAGGAAGCAAACCTAAATGGTCTCTCTCTCTCTCTATATATATATATATGTACACACACACACATGTTAGGACGACATTTTCTGAGCACCTACTGGGTGTCTAGTGCTTTATGTACATTACCTCACATAGTTTTTTTTTTTTTTTAAGGTTTTTTTCCA